ACAAGTAGAATACGTCCAATCAAATTGGAACTCTGGGTATACTACTCTAACAAACTGTTGGTTTGAAAACGTAAGTGCTGATATCTCGATCCTAAACAAACTGAAAATAATATAAACAATTACTAAATACTATGCTCAGATTGATAAAATAACTGTTTAATACGTTAAGATGCTCTACTGGACTTTAACACGATATCTGGATTTAACCGGTACAACCAGAACTGAACTGACATGAATTTACTGAACTGGACCGGACTTGAAATTTAACTGAAAATGATACTGAAATCATGAACCGGGACTTAATATAATAAAATACTAAGGAACCGGTCTAAACTGCTTTGAACTGGTTTGGCCGGTCTACTAACTGGCCGAACCGCTGGCTCGCTGGCCGGGCAGTTGGCTACTAACTGGACTACCGGCACGGTCGTACGCACGCACCGGGTACGGCCTAAGCACTGTCGGGGCCACCGGGCGCTGCTGGCGCCGGCCCGTGCGTGGCTGGTACGGTCTGTGCACTGGCGGGTGCAACTGATACCGTACGTGTGCTAGGAACGGTTGTTAGCGTGCTGTTGTGCACTGCGAACAGCTACTGGGCGTGACTGAACGCGACTGGCCACTGCCGTGCGCGCGGGCTACGGCACTGGTACGCATAGACACTGTCGGGCGCTGCTGTGCGCCATGGGCAGGCGGCGGGTTCATGTACTACGGGTACTGGGACGGCTGGGCACTCGGGCGTGCTGCCGGGCAACGCCGAGGCCCGCTGGGCATCGCTGGCACGCTGCTGGGCGTGCTGGCGTGCGTGATTGTTGGCCAGCGTGCGTGGGACGCTGCTGGCATGCGTACTGGAGTCACAAGACACGCTGCTGGGCGTGTGCGGTGCTGCGGTGTACGCGGACGGACTGGCTGCGTGCTGCCGTGCGTGTTGGCGTGCACTGGTTACGCCCACGCACATGACTGCGGCAGTTCATGACTGACTGCGGGGCACTGGCTACGCGCACGCACTGCTGGGTGTGCGAACGCTGCCAGTGTGCCCGCTGGGACTGCCGGGCGTGCCGTGCGCACGCTGTGTGCGGACAGGCACTACGGTCGGCCTCTTGCCGGCCGTCCGGCAACTTTTTCCGGCAAACCTTATATGACTAAACATAAAATGACTTGAAATTACTAACTATGTTTAAATTACTCGGGACTTGCCAGTTAAACATTAAAATCACTCGGAAAGGGCATACCACAGCCCGTGGGCATGTACTACATGTGCTGCCGACTTCCTTAGGCCAAAACATGGACAAAATCACAACTTGTCTCGACCTATCTTAAAAAGTTGAACATATACTGACCCAACATGCTCAATTAGACATGAATTGCTCGGTGTTATTCGAATAAAACTAAACATCACTCGGTCATGACCTATATGGCCAAAACCGAACCCCTTTATGACATTTTCTTGCATTTCTTGTCATGAGCTGATTAAACTGATGTTAACATGATCTAATTAACATAAAAGGATGCTGAACGCAAGGTTACCTTCTTAAGTGTTCGGAGAATTTCCCAAGAACGGGCATAATCCTCCTTCCCGTGCGTGCGTGTGGGCATTGCTTACTTAATGCGTATGATTAGGATTAATTTGAAGTTAGTGTTTGCTGAGATTTGTAGCTTAAGTAATAAGCTACAAATGTACCCCAAATGCTGATATATATACACGGTAAAACTTGGAGAATTTGAGAGGAACTCCTCGGCCAAATGGCGTGAAGCCACTTGCCGTACGTCTAAGGGGCGAGAGTGGCAATCGGGGTGCTTATTCACCCAATCTATTGCTTAGTCACAGCCCGAGTAACCCCAAGCCCTCCATGTGTCATGAATGGATGACTATGCTCGTGAAGAATGGTGATCCGAAATTCCCACGACCACTTGATGAAGTAAACTTGGTTTAGATGTACTAAAGCATGCTTAGGGTATGCTAAGCATGTTTGATACTAAGCTAAACATGATTACTCTTAAATATGATTGACCTTAAA